AAGAGGAGGTATTTAGATGTCCCATAAGAGGAGGTATTCAGATGTCCCATAATAGGAGGTATTCAGATGTCCCATAAGAGGAGGTATTCAGATGTCCCATAAGAGGAGGTATTCAGATGTCCCATAAGAGGAGGTATTCAGATGTCCCATAAGAGGAGGTATTCAGATGTCCCATAAGAGGAGGTATTCAGATGTCCCATAAGAGGAGGTATTCAGATGTCCCATAAGAGGAGGTATTCAGATGTCCCATAAGAGGAGGTATTCAGATGTCCCATAAGAGGAGGTATTCAGATGTCCCATAAGAGGAGGTATTCAGATGTCCCATAAGAGGAGGTATTCGGATGTCCCGTAAGAGGTGGTATTCGGATGTCACATAAGAGGAGTTATTCGGATGTCACATAAGAGGAGTTATTCGGATGTCACATAAGAGGAGGTATTCGGATGTCCCATAAGAGGAGGTATTCAGATGTCCCAAAAGAGGAGGTATTCGGATGTCCCAAAAGAGGAGGTATTTGGATGTCCCAAAAGAGGAGGTATTCAGATGTCCCAAAAGAGGAGGTATTCAGATGTCCCATAAGAGGAGTTATTAAGATGTCCCATAAGAGGAGGTATTCAGATGTCCCATATGAGGAGGTTTTCAGATGTCCCATATGAAGAGTTTTTCAGATGCCCCATATGTGAAGGTTTTCAGATGTCCAATAAGAGGAGGTATTTAGATGTCCCATTAGAGGTGATTTTCAGATGTCCCATAAGAGGAGGTATTCAGATGTCCCATAACAGGAGTTATTCAAATGTCCCATAAGAGGAGGTATTCAGATGTCCCATAAGAGGAGGTATTCAGATGTCCCAAAGAAGAGTATTCAGATGTCCCATAAGAGGAGGTATTCAGATGTCCCAAAGGGGAGAATTCAGATGTCCCAAAGGGGAGAATTCAGATGTCCCGTAAAAGGAGGTATTCAGATGTTCTATAAGAGGAGGTATTCAGATGTCCCATAAGAGGAGGTATTCAGATGTCCTAAAGGGGAGTATTCAGATGTCCCATAAGAGGAGGTATTCAGTTGTCCCATAAGAGGAGGTAATCAGATGTCCCAAAGGGGATTATTCAGATATCCCATAAGAGGAGGTATTCAGTTGTCCCATAAGAGGAGGTAATCTGATGTCCCACAGGGGATTATTCAGATGTCCCATAAGAGGAGGTATTCAGTTGTCCCATAAGAGGAGGTAATCAGATGTCCCAAAGGGGAGTATTCAGATGTCCCATAAGAGGAGGTATTCAGATGTCCCATAAGAGGAGGTATTCAGATGTCCCAAAGGGGAGTATTCAGATGTCCCATAAGAGGAGGTATTCAGATGTCTCATAATAGAATGTATTCAGATGTCCCATAAGAGGAGGTATTCAGATGTCCCATAAGAGGAGGTATTCAGATGTCCCAAAAGAGGAGGTATTCAGATGTCCCATAAGAGGAGGTATTCAGATGTCCCATAAGAGGAGGTATTCAGATGTCCCAAAGGGGAGTATTCAGATGTCCCATAAGAGGAGGTATTCAGATGTCTCATCATAGAATGTATTCAGATGTCCCATAAGAGGAGGTATTCAGATGTCCCATAAGAGGAGGTATTCAGATGTCTTATAAGAGGAGGTATTCGGATGTCCCATAAGAGGAGATATTCGGATGTCCCATAAGAGGAGGTATTCGGATGTCCCATAAGAAGAGGTATTCAGATGTCCCAAAAGAGGAGGTATTTGGATGTCCCATAAGAGGTATTCAGATGTCCCAAAAGAGGAGGTATTCAGATGTCCCAAAAGAGGAGGTATTTGGATGTCCCATAAGGGGAGGTATTCAGATGTCCCAAAAGAGGAGGTATTCAGATGTCCCATAAGAGGAGGTATTCAGATGTCTCATAATAGAATGTATTCAGATGTCCCATAAGAGGAGGTATTCAGATGTCCCATAAGAGGAGGTATTCAGATGTCCAATAAGAGGAGGTATTCAGATGTCCCATAAGAGGAGGTATTCAGATGTCCCATAAGAGGAGGTATTCAGATGTCCCATAAGAGGAGGTATTCAGATGTCCCATAAGAGGAGGTATTCAGATGTCCCATAAGAGGAGGTATTCAGATGTCCCATAAGAGGAGGTATTCAGATGTCCCATAAGGGGAGGTATTCAGATGTTCCATAAGAGGAGGTATTCAGATGTCCCATAAGGGGAGGTATTCAGATGTTCCATAAGAGGAGGTATTCAGATGTCCCATAAGAGGAGGTATTCAGATGTTCCATAAGAGGAGGTATTCAGATGTCCCATAAGAGAAGGTATTCAGATGTCCCATAAGAGGAGGTATTCAGATGTCCCATAAGAGGAGGTATTCAGATGTTCCATAAGAGGAGGTATTCAGATGTTCCATAAGAGGAGGTATTCAGATGTTCCATAAGAGGAGGTATTTAGATGTCCCATAATTAATCTTGTTGAAACATTCAACATTCAGATCTATAACTGCAAAACATATCACCAATAAGTTACATGGCCATGCATATTTGCATAGATTTAGTAACTGATTACATGAGTTACTTTAACCCTTAAATTAACATGCTAGGCGTATAATATCCTTTGTTCCCCACAGGTGCATGTAATTTTGAAAAAAAAAAAAAATTCTTGCTAATCGGTTAATTTGTGTTCACTGTTCATGGGAAAAATAATAACAAAATCGTAAGTGGCATATATTGCCCGATATAGGGCGGGGAAGTCTGGCAAAAAACAGGCGCTGACTCAGCGTGCATCTTAGGCGGTCTGTTGATCGCCAGCTGTCAGGCCGGAGTTGCCACAAAGAGATAATTACCTAATTATTTCAATGTCTCTGATTTTTTGTAGTATTTTTGCTGTAATATTATTCAATAGTGTGTAGTTTGATATATTTATATAATAATATGAGTGAATCATCGCTGTACTCAAAAATATGGTGTGCATATTGTTGATTCAATTATGTTCATCAATCAGTGAAGAAATACTTTGTCGGTTATTACACTATATACACAGGTTATATATAAGTATATGCATGTTTTGTTCACCATAACGAACCACTAAGTTGCTATTATGAGTCAAAAAGTAACGAGGAGTGACTGCCGTGTACCAGCCAGCCACTCACGCCCTCTCTCAAGTCACCTGACTCACCCACATTCTCCTCGCACAATACTGTTTTTGCTTTTATTCGCTATATACAGACACTATATATAAGTATCTACATTCGTGTTCACCATAACGAACCACTAAGTTGGTATGTTGAGTGGCAGTGGCAGGCAGTGGCAGCCCGCCACTGTCTGCCACTCCCTCCCTCCCTCACCTCATCTGACTTGCCACCATTTTCCACCCATCATACTTTTTTGCTTTTATATACAGACGTTATATATAAGTATTTGCATGTTTTGTTCACCATAACTGTACATCTAAGCTTGTATAGTGAGTAAAGGCACAAAGACGTAGGACCTCACACAGTCAGCTGATGGCTGCCGCCCTGAAGGCCAGACGCACTAATATTTTTTTTTTTTTTTTTTGAGATATATACAAGAGTTGTTACATTCATGTACAGCCACTAGTACGCGTAGCGTTTCGGGCAGGTCCCTGGAATACGATCCCCTGCCGCGAAGAATCGTTTTTTCATCCAAGTACACATTTTACTGTTGCGTTAAACAGAGGCTACAGTTAAGGAATTGCGCCCAGGAAATCCTCCCCGGCCAGGATACGAACCCATGACATAGCGCTCGCGGAACGCCAGGCGAGTGTCTTACCACTACACCACGGAGACTTCTCCACCAACAATACTGTTTGTGGTGTTATTACGCTATATACACACATTATATATAAATATCTACCTGTTTTATTCACCATACTTGTACAAGTAAACTGGTATGGTGCCCGAAGACCATCGTGGTAACCAGTAAACAACACCGTCGTCTGCACGGTGGCATCGTGCAGACGACGCCACTGCCCTCACCAAAATGGCAGCTCCCAACCTATTCCTCTTGCTGTTTATACCCTTTATACACACGTTATATATAAGTATCTACATTTGTGTTCACCATAGTGAACCACTAAGCTGGTATGGTGAATGCAGTCAATAAAAGGTGACCACACACAGTCAGAAGACATCGCCACCACCCTCCCTCCCATAGCATTACTCCTCCCTCCATGGCGCACAGCGCTAAATATCACCACAATCCTGCTATTATCAGAACCCTAGTCAGTTTTATCACAGTCAGGGGTCTTCTGTAATAATATCATCGCTACATAATAGCATGAACAAGTATATTATGGCATATTTAGGCGATGGTATGGTCACAAGCTGAACAGCAGTGCTGTGAGCTCATGCTGCGTGAGTCAGGCTTGGTAGCTCACTCAATACTGAGGCCCCTAACACCCGGGAGTTTGGCCCACGATTTAAAAAAAAATGGCGTCTGTTTACAAGAGCCCTGATGAAGATGTGGTGAACCCCGTGTATCCGCGGGCCATTTAAATCTTGCGTAGTACTCCAACACGTCATATGACGTGATGCTCACTTTTTCAGTAAGTTACTCAACACGTCATATGACGTGTTGCGCAGTTTAAGGGTTAATGGTTTCAGTTTTTATCCATGATTTAGCCTACATTAGCTCTTTTCAATATATACTACCTGAAATAATATACACAAATGGTGTAACAATATCTCAAAAGGGAATTGCTATTATCATAATAAGTTTTACTAACAAGAACAAAATAATTCTACTGTATATGATAAATTCTTAGAATTATCACTTTCTTCTAGAGTTTTGTTATGTAAATTATGATCATATAATACTGTGAATTGGCTGTGTGTGTGTTAATGTACTGTTATGTGCTGAAGGTAATTTTATGCTAGTATCGGAGCTTGATTCAAAACAGGTTCTCTAAATTACTGGTTAATGCAGATTTATGTGTATGTGTTTTGAATATTTAACAAAAATGTGTAATTTACTTGTAAATTATTTCAGCCTAATGGTATGTCTACTCCAGAAAAAGTAGTTAGAAGTCGTCCTGTAAGTTTACCAGGATCTGGATCACCAGTGTGCCAACGCAGTGCTGACCACCATAGCTCAACGGAAGAACGAGGCCTGGGAGAATATAGAGGCAGTTCATCATCTCGTTGGCCCCGAGGTCAGCCTCCTCCACCCCCACCAGCAACAAGTAAACCTGCTTGTAAGTAATAATTCACTCTTTTCATAATGTTTTTCCTGTGGATAGCCCCCTCCAGCTCCCCAGAGCTTACTGCGCTGATAACTATGTATTAAACCCTGACGTCAATAAATTTGATGGAGTTCTAGCCTACCAGGGACCACGACCAAGAACCTGGCCCCCTCAAAGAGGCACAAGGAGCATTGGCCAATAGACACCATCCCCATGTAGTTGGAAGGAATCTGTCTGCCATCTATCAGGTTAGGCACCCAGAAAGGTAGGTGTCCCAAAACAAAATATAGCTGGTTAAAATTTGTGACCGAAAGCCGAATTAGAAAGCAGAACCCCCCAAACGTTTGACTCTGGCTTCAATCCTTGAGCAGTGCTGTGCCTTGCGGTGTTGTTCTGGTGTGTGAGCCAGGTGTTATTCAAGAAGTACTGGGGGCTGCATGTGCCTAGGGTCACCTTCCCTAAGTGCCCTGTAAGTACTGCCCTTGCAATTTGGGGTTACCTTTCTCAACCTGTTCGGGAACTATCTCTGTAGGGTTCTTTTGCTATTCGGTGATTGCCCGCCCTTGGGGTCAGCTGGGTTTTTGTTGCCACTGTTTGACCTTGGGTAGGAGGTAGTATCGTCGTTGGCAGGGGTGCATGGTACTGTGCAGCTGTCTTACATTACTCAAAGTGGACGGTTCTGTTCCTTCTGGAGACGTGCTTTTGCGGGGTTTTTCTTTCTTTTGTTTGCCTAGTGGGGGTCTGCCTGGTGTAGCAACAGGACCACTTGTATTGTTTTGGGTCCTCCACTAGACCCCCATGATTGTACATGTCACAGGGGTTCAGCTTTGGTTTGTTTGGTAGTTTTCGGATAACCAGTTAGCAGTACTTTGCCTGGACTTCCCTTAGTAGTCAGCCTAAGGGCCTTGGGAAACCCCATTGGGGCACATTGGTCCAGTGGATGCGTTCCCCGAGTCCCATTTTGCTTCATGCGAGTTTGAAGGTTGCTTGGTCCCCTTGTCTCAGGGTGGCACTCACTGTCATTGCCTCCATCATGCTGCCTGTTGGGCTGATAACATCTTTGACCTGGAGTGGTACGAGTGGTGTTCCTTGCTTGTACTCCAATTAACCCATTCCACTAATATTGATATTCGGGTGCAGAGCAGGTTTAGCGTTGCATACGAGGTTTAGGTTGCTGCAATGCACTAGGTTAGGTTGCCTTCCTGGATGCCCCGAGCTGTCCCTCTTGGGTTATAGAGACTCGGACATAGAGCGTTAATCGCCTCGACTTTGGGAGTTGGGGCAGGGTTTAGAGGTTGGTGAGACTTGGGCGGTTTTGGGAGCTGCCCCTTCCGGATCAGCGGCGGAGACATTTGAGCCTGTTCCCCCTACCGGGGCTTTTGGGTCGGGCCAAAGGACCCCTTTCTTCCCTGCTTTTCAGGTGGACTCTGCCTTTTCTTCAGAGGCAGAGGGTTTGGATGATGACTCTGCCTCCGGGTCCTGCTGTGGAGGATCCCGGGGCTGGGGAGGAGCTGACCTGGGGGGCTTGGGCCCCATTTGACCTCGCTTGGGTGTTGGTACCCTCGGCACGGGGCTTGTTATTGCAGGGGGAGGGGTTTTCTTGTCCTCTCTCCCTGTACGAGTTTGATATGAGTTCAGCTCCTCCCCAGGTCAGGTTTACCTGGACGGTTAGTTTGAGCACCTCAATGTATGCTTGTTTGCCTCTGTCCTTCCTCGCGATGTTGGCCAGGTGCAGCTTCACGTGCTGGTTCTCTCCCTTTTGGCATCCCTGGTGGCCGAGGATTTGCACGCCTGTGGGCATTTGGCTTCAGTCTTGCACTTCTTTTCCCTGCTGGAATTCACTGCCAGTCTTCGGATTGGCTCGAGGAGGATGTGGAGGTGCTGGGTTCTGGGCCTGCGTCCAGTGTGCTTGCCTCGGCGGCTCGGGCATCGGCTGCCTTGTTGAAGTTGTTTGTGCTGGTTCTAAAGGAGCCAGTGTCTCTGTTCTTTGCTTCTCATCTCGCGTGCTGGCAGGCGGTGCTCGCTCACTCCTTGGAATCTGTTTGGGACCTGGCTTTTGGTTCCATTTGGTTCCCATTTGGTTCCCTCTCAGGTTCGGACTTGGCTGGGTCTTGTGCTTGACTCTCAGACCACTTCCTTCTCTCTCCCTCCAGCAGTGTTTCTGCGGCTGCTGTTTCCCCTTCGGCTGCTTTTGGAGGGCACCCGGGTCAATTGTTGGTGGTTCGAGCAGCTGTGCGGGAATCTGAACTTCACCATGCTGGTCTACCCGTCGGGTAAGATCTGGCTTCAGCGGCTGTTCTTGTTCCTTCGAGGATGTCCCTTCTGCCGCTCTTGCGATCACTGGGTTTGAACCCCAGTGGCCTTGCGTCGGCTGCTGTATCGCCGGCTTCCATTTTGGGTTTTCAGGGTTCCTTGCTGTGGCACCTACCTGAGCCCTTGCTCAATGTATTGTCTCTCGGCTGGGGCTCTGTGACCATTGTTCACCAGGCCGGCCAGGGTTGGTGGGGTCCATCCTTCCATCAGGCTCACAGCACGGTGCGGAAGTTCACAGCAATGTGGCTTTTGCTTCAGAGGGTTCCCGTCACTCGTGGATTGATGATCCAGTTCCATTCGGACTGCTCCCCAGTGGTTCATTGTCTGAACCGTGGGGGTTTGATGCGGTCCTTGGCTCTTTTGGGCTGGTCGCTTCGGATGACTCGTCTGCTGGATTCTCGAGGTTTGGCTCTCCGTGGTGGTTCATACCTGGAGTGTCCAATGTCCTGGTGGAAGGCCTGTTCTGGTTCATTTCCTTGTCCGCAGAATGGACAGTCGATGCCGACTGCTTCTGTTGGCTCTGCCGGACGTATGGGCACCCAGCGGTGGACCCCTTCACGTTGGCATGGTCGAGGAAGTTTCCCTGTATATGTGTCATCCTTCCCGACTGCGAGGTCATCGGGGTTGATGCCTTTCAGCAGGACTGGTCGAGGTCGGGTTACCTGTACTTCTTCCACCCGGTCCAGCTGTTGCTTCGAGTTCTGGCTTGGTTAGAGACTTACCAGGGGAGAGTAGTCCTGTTGGCTCCTTGGTAGCCAGCTCAGCCTTGGTTTCAGGCGCTGCTTGCTCAGTGTCCAAACCCGGGGATCTTTCTGCGGCTCCACCTCTTTCAGCTGATCGGTCTGGTCTGGTATGTGTCTGGTTCGATCTTCTCCTCCGATCCGCACGTCTGGTCTTTTTGATGCGGGTTTATCTTCACTTGTATGGTGATCAGGTTGCTTCATTGATGATGTCCCACCTGCGTGTTTTGTCTCGGCGGCAGTATGAAGTTTGAGGCGGTCCTTTCGTCACTTTTTGTCTCTTTGTAGGTTGTCTTCGATGTGTCTGATCAGGTTGTTTTGTACTTTCTCTCTTGGCTGTTTTTAGAACAATCAACTTATGCCGTATACTGTCGCCTCGTATCATGCTTTGCTGGCGGAGCAGCCGCCAGCTCCGGGAGCTCAGGATTTGTTCAGGGTGGATGTCATTTCTGCTCCATTCCACAAGCTTTCTTGTGCATTGTTTCACCTACGGCGTGCTCATGAACAAATCCTGAGCTCCCAGAGCTGGCGGCTGCTCCGCCAGCAAAGCATGATACGAGGCGACAGTATGCGGCATAAGTTGATTGTTCTAAAAACAGCCAAGAGAGAAAGTACAAAACAACCCGATCAGCTCAGCCTGAACTGTCCTGGTCGTTGAACCGGGTGCTCTCTTTTCTCTCTTCTGGGTTTGTGGTGGCCCCTATGGTTCAGAATGTTTTTTCTAAGGCTCTTTTCTTGTTGGCATTGGCCTCTGGGGGTCGGGTCAGGGAGGTTTGTGCTCTCCTCCGGTGCAAGGGGTTTCTGCTCATTCGGTCCTGGTAGTCTGTTTGTTCGTTTGCAGCTGTGTCTTTCTTTTCTGGTGAAGAATGAGACTGCTGCCTTGGGTTGTTGGTGCTTGATTGGTTCAGCCGGGGGTGCATCATGTCTTGAATCTGGTTGCGGCTCTTTGCTGTTACTAGCACGCCACGGCCACGGTGGATGGAGACGTGCCTTGGGTACATATCTCAGATTCCCTTCTTCCATGTTTCAGAGTGTGGGTCTCAAAGGTCATCCACAGGGTTATTCGGTCCATCTAGCCTGCAGTCTATTCCCGTGCCCAAGACGTTCGTAAGTTCACAGCTTTGGCTGCTGTTTTTGGTGACATGTCCTGGGCTGACATAGAGGCGCAGGGTTTTTGGCGGTCAAACAGGGTCCTGGCCGCATGGTACCTTGTTAATTTTTCAAAGCTACTCGGGTGTGTGTAGCTTTGGGTCGCAGGTTGTAGCCAGTTGTCTGGTCATCGATTTGAGGAGCATGTGATGACCGCCTCCCGGGTAAGTCCCTCTTTGCTTAATCTTTGGTTAGAAAAACCAGCTTTGAATGTAATGAAACGCCAGTTTCTGGGCGAGTCCCTGAGGCTTGCTGGCAACCTGACCGGTCGCCAGTTTTACTGCTCTGACATTCAGCCTCTGAACTAGGGTTGGATAGCTGATGTGGGGGGATCTGAGGCTCCCCCTTCCCCCCTCCCAGGGAAGGGGGGGAGCTGCACAGACAGCAGTGTGGTGGCTATGGTGACGTCATGCTTGTTTACTTGTGTTCGGTTTGGGGAGTTCTGCTTGCTAGTTCGGCTTTCGGTCACAATTTTTTAACTACTTGTAGTTTGTTTTGGAATTCCTACCTGTCTGGGTGCCTAACTCGGTAGATGGCAGACATAGACTGCTTCAACCATATGTGGGTGTCTATAGGCCATTGCTCCTCGTGCCTCACTGAGGGGGGGCCAGTTTCTGGCTCGTGGTCCCTGGTTGGCTAGAACTTCATAGAATTGACTGATGCCATGGTCTAATACATACATATCAGCCTGGTAAGCTCCAGGGGAGCCTCTGGGACTCTACTAGAAAATGGCATTTCATTACATTCAATGCTGGTATTTTCAATACTGTTTGTATAAAAGTTTATAAAATTATGAATGAGCTAATAACC